TTAGCAATTAATTGGTCTACATTCTTTACTGTCATTTTATTTCCTCTGGTGACAGCTACTTAGCCTTAGGAACACTTCCATCTATAGCAGTCCCTCCAAAATACACTGTAGAGTTGGCTTGTGGGAGGTAAATTCTCTCAACTTTTGTTTATTTGGAAATTGTTTAATCCCCATTCAAATTTAAATAATAATCTTGCCACATAGAGTATTCTTGGTTCAAGGCCCTTCTGTTTCATTGCATTTTTACATATACCATGCCATTCTCTTCTGGCCTGTAAGGTTTCTGTTGAGAAGTGTGAGATAGCCTGATGGGTTTTCCTTTGTATGTGATCTTTTTTCCCTCTCTGGCTGCTTTCAATACTCTGACCTTGATCTTTGCCATTTTAATTATTATATGTCTTGATTTTGTCTTCCCTGGGTCCTTTGTGTTGGGAGATCTGTGCACCACCATGGCCTGAGGGACTATCTACTTCCCCAGTTTGGGGAAGTTCTCAGCAATTACTTCCTCAAAGATACTTTCTATCCCTTTTTCTCTCTCTTCATTTTCTGGTACCCCTATAATGCAAATATTGTTCTGTTTAAATAGATAACACAGGTCTCTTAATATTCTTTCATCCTAGAGATCCTTTTTTCTCTCTGTGCCTCAGCTTGTTTATATTCCTGTTCTCTAATTTCTATTTCATTTACTCTCTCCTCTATCTAATCTGCTTTTAAATCCCTCCATTTATGTTTCATTTCGGATACTGTATTTTTTAACATTGATATCCCATTCCTGAATTCCTCCCTGAGCTCCTGAATATTTTTCTGTAGCTCCATAAGCATGTTTATGATTTTTATTTTTAAATCTTTTTCTGGAAGATTGATGAGTTCAGTTTCACTTGGCCCTCTTTCTAGTGTTTTTGCAGTTTTGGTTTGAACCAGGTTCATATTTGTAGGTGGCACCCCCTAGTGCCCAGAAGCTCTACTCTCTGGAGCTGCTCAGCCCCTGGAGTGATGGCTGGGATTCCAGGTGAGCGGTGCTGGTGCCTTTTGGGAGGAAAGAGTTCTTTTCTGCTTCCCGGCTGTAGCGCCTGCCTCCACTGCCAGGACTAGTGTGCTGAGTATATAGGGAGAAGCTCTATACATTGCACTTGTAGCTGCCATAGGTGTAACCACCCTCTGGCTGGCCTGGTGCAATGGCAGGGGCAACCAGCTTGCAAGCTGGTGCCAGCCAGGAGGAAGGCACAGCAGGCTGCATATTGCAGTGGGGCACCTTGTAGCTGCATAGGCAGCCAGGGGGATGGAGCACCTGAAGCTCCTGAAAGTTCCCAACCTGCTGGACCGAGTGTGCCCAGACAATTTTGTCTACCTGTCCTTTCTCTTAAGCAGCACGCTCTGTGCAGTCCTTGCCCCTTTAGCAGCCCTCTCACTGTTAGGAAGTCTCTCAGAGTGGCCAGTTGTGGATATGTATTTTCCACAAGTGGCTGGAATCTCAGTCTCTCCAAGTATTCTGCCTGTCTTAGCTTTCCAACCCCACTAATCTCCAGAGCACCATGTAATTGTAGGTTCGTGCTCCCAGAGCAGATCTCCAGGGCAGGCTGTTCAGCAGTCTGAGGCCTCCACCCTCTCCTGGTTCCATTTCTCTTCTTTCCTCCAGTGAGCTAGGGTGGGGAAAGGGCTTGGATCCCTCCAGATCATGGCTCTGGTACTTTACCCTTTTCCTTGAGGTGTGCTGTTTTCCCCAGGTGTAGGCAGTCTGCCATAGCCTTCTTTTCTGTTGCTCTTTCAGAATTAGATGTATTTGCTATATTTCCATATTATATCTGGTTCTGGGAGGTTTCTGTCTCACCTCTCACGTTGACATCTTTAATCCCAGTGCCTGTAAAAAGTATTTTATAAAATCTGTTCTCTTTCTGCCCAGACTACCTGGAAAAAGGTTGGCATCTATTATATACATTTATGTATTTAAAAATAAATATTTTATATATATATACATACAGACAGACAGACACACACACACTTCTGCCTTCATTGCTTTATGTGAATCCAACAGGACCAATAATTACTTTGAATGTCAATGGTCTAAATGCACCCACCCATCAGAAGACAGAGATTGTCAGAATGGATCAAAATGCAAGACCCAACTGTTTGCCATCTATAAGAAACCTCCTTTACTATAAAGACACATATAGATTAAAAGTAAATAGATGGAAAAAATTTACCATGCTAACAGTTGCTGTATGTCCTCAGCAGCTGTGAGAGTGCAACAGCAAAGAACTAGGGTCAGAGACCAAGTTTGAATCCAAGCTCCACTGGGGCTGTGGAAATTGGAAAGTCCTTTAGTCTCTCAGCCTCAATTTATTCCTCTTTAAAAGGCAAGTAATAATACTTAGTTTCATAAGATGTTTCTAAGATTAAATTTTAAAATATCTATGAAACATTGTAAATTACTGTTATAAAAGCTAAGTATTCTAGCAAAGAAGGTGCCAGTCTGATTTAAGAGACTGACATATATGATCATTATGTACCTTATTGTGAGGTTAACATTATCAATACTTACCTGTATAAAACATAGGCTTTACAAACCTACTGAAGAAGCATCTAAGAGCTAAGAAATATGTCCCTGGCTCTGCCTTCCTATGTAAAGACAGGCGATAAAGGACACTTTTGAAAAAAGCACCATGTTTTAAGGCACTTCAAGGTTGTTTTCTCTTTAAGGTCAGGTCTCAAGGAACCAAAACATTATCAAGACTCATTTGTTGTACATATATTCTAGGCAAGGCCCTGTGCCCCTTCTTCAGGATAGATGAACCCTCTATGTCCTAAGCGCCAACTGTGAACCAGCTACTTTACATATGTCATCTCTAATCTTGAGAATGCCTTGTAATGTTGCTACACCCATTTTGCAAGTAGAGAAACTGGGCCACTTGAAAGACTCATTGTAGAAGTAAGTAGGAAAGCTGAAATACAGATCCTGGTGCTGGCTCCCAAGCCCGGGCTCTTTCTATTCCACAATGTGGCCTCACACAAAGAGGCACAACACAGTCTCTGCCTGAAACAAGATGCTGCTGTATGAACTTTATTCAAAGAATACACAGGCCTTAAAAAAAAGAAAGAGATGGATAATCTTAGGGGGCATTTTTATCCAGCCATGGTAATAATCAAATTTATCAACCAAGATAAGAGAAGGTGTCTGCCCTCAGAGACCTCATATTCTAGTTGTGGACATAAGACTAATAGTAGCCTTGAAGCTTAATGAATCACTAAAGACAACACAGAAGAGTGTCTATGGACTGCCTTCCATTCTAGGAATATGCCAGCTAAGACTCACCTGGGAAAGACCTTGGGACAGAGAAGCTGACAAAAGCCCCCTTTTCTGTATGTTTAAAATACTCTGTAGTTCTTAGAATACTAGCTTCTCCAAAGACAGTGTTCACCGGGGTCATACACAGCATTTTTCTAGTACCCTTCAGGAAGCAATGACACCCTAACAGCCCCCTTACCCACACACACCTTTAGAAACATGTAGAGGAACTCCAAAGTAAGTATAACCTGGATTTCAGTTGCTATTCTGTCACTTACTAGATGCATGATCTGACCTTAGTCAGTTAACCTTGCTAAGCCTCAGTTCCTTCATCTACAAAACAGAACAACAGCCATAGATCTCAGAGCGTTATGGTGAGCATTAAATGCAGTCCAGCACATCAGTGCCTACCACAGCGTGCGAAGTGCTGGTAAACTGTGGCTGCTTGCAGCATGATCACCAACAGATTCTGAGGGTGAGGCTCAAAACCACGCTCTCCTCGGCTGGTTCTCTGAGCAGTAGTAAATGTCCTTTTTCAACAACAGGGAAGGTGGTATCTTCAAACTAATTAAAAGGACAGTCTGAGTCAGCTCTCCTTTCAAGAGCTTACAGCACCTACTTCCTCTCCCGCTTGAAGTTACATGGCCTCTCAGTGACCACACAATCCTCTCTATCACTCAGCTTTCATAAGCAGCAAAGTAACTAGTCCATTCTTTCTCCGAATAGCTAATTCTCATTCATGGATGTTGTGTTGCCAGCTAGGCATCACTGACTGACATTTAAAGCTTACCGTCTTCTGTGTCTTTTGCTATTAACAAGCTGCTCTCCTTACAAAGTGTCTGAGCTGGAGACCCCAGATAGGCTCCACACAGGTGTTTAGGTCACAGCACAGAGTGTACAAGGAATAGACCCAAGTCCAGTCCAGTTGCAGGGAAGGAATTGTATGGAAGAGTACATGGAATTAACACCAGGTAGATGGTGTGCACAGATCACAAAATGGCCTTGAATGCCAGACTATGGCATTTGTGTCTGCCTCTGTCAGGCCACAGAACCCAATGTAAATTCTTCATGAGTTTCCTAATTCAAGATTAGTCTGATAGAGGCACATAGGATGAACAGACATTGGGGGCACTGGGACAGGGAAAGCATGAGAGAAGGAGGCACTGACTTCTAGTGCTTTTTATCAGATACCCCCTCCTTCCAAATTGTCCTACAGCCACATATGCCCTCTCTGCCCATGAAAGCAGCTCCAGAAAATGTCCCACCCTCTTGGCTATGAGAAGCTCCACAGAGGCTGTGATTACAGCAACCACAGGTGACAATTCCTACATCTGTCTTGTCTTGCTTATTTGTAATGAAAACTGCTGCTCAGAGAGAATTTGATTTTCTGGGCTTACTCCTTAAATCTATTCTGCCACTTTCATCCAAAGCAAATCTTTTTTTCTGCCCAACTGTCTTGGTAGCTGAAATGTAAAATTATCAGAAAATAAAAAATGTCAAAAAATTCTATAGAATTCAAAGAAGCTTACTAACTAGAGACACTGCATTAGCAACCAACTAAAACAGAATAGAAGGTGGCAGTGAGGGATGCTGAAGAGATCATTTTCAAACCAATGCTAAAGTGAACAGTTCTCAACGTACAATTACCTTGTTTTCAAAATTCTCCACTTATATAAATATAATATAAAATGCTGGAAAAAGAGAACTCTGTATTCAATTACGGTTCAGTGTAGGATTGGTGGGGAGAATGGGGTGATAACACTGAGATCCGGATTAAGAGTATATTAAGCCTCTCACACCCGACTCTCAGCAAAGAGTTCTAGGTATTTAGGCACTGACTCTGGCTGTGAACTTCAGTTTCCCCCACATGCAAAACAGGGATTAAAAAACAGCACTAACATCCCTGCTGTAAGGACTAACGGGGCCAAATGTTAGCCATGTAGCACAGTGCTCGGTACACGGTAAACTCAACAAATGGCCACTGACATAACTGGCTTATTTACCAATTATTCATAATTAGCTTATTCTCATTCTAATTCCAAAAATGAGTGGAGTCAGAGGTGCTTAGAAATCCTGGTTAATAAAAGGCTCTAGTTAGTCGCTGTTTTACTCTTAACAACGCTTTGCTGGAATTCCGCTGGAAGGAGGTGAAGGCACTGCCAGGAATGGAAGGCTTTTTGCCTGGTGCAGAGAAAACACTAAACCTGTGGTGGCCCGACCCAGCACCCCACATTTGTACAGAACTTTGCAAGGTAAAGAAGAGCAGTGCCCTTGGCTGTCTGCAAAACATGTTGGTAAGTGAGTTCAATCTGAAAAAAAAAAAAAGGAAAAGGAAAAGAAATGCAATACGGTCTGTCTTTCAGGTTTCCTGTGGCCAATGGACTGAGAGCATCACAGAATTTCAAGGCTGAAAGACCCACAATTTCCAAATGTTACACATCCTCTCTGAGGCCGCATGGGCCCCCACCCTGCCAAGCCCTTCCAACAGGACAGGGGGAAAAGCCAAGTCAGCAACAGATGTGCCTGGGCTCCCGCTGCATTTTCTAGAAGCTAAACTCCCTGAAGACAGGCATCTGTGAACATATGGATCTGTAAGTCACAAAGGCATTGAAATATTATTTTAAACTGCTTTTAAATTTTTCATCATGGCATTCTCTTCTCTCTTAAAAAAAGTGGCAGAAAATTCAAATCTAAGGTTTCATAACATTTATAGGAAGTCTAAATGTCTTTAAAACTAAGGCCTAAAATCTTATATACAAGAACAGAGTTTGAAAATAAACGGCTTTCTCCTTTTTAAAAATAAATCATTAAGGCAAGTCCACAGTCAAATTCAAGTTGGTGCTTCTGGACCCATTAATTCATTCAGTAAAAGTTCACCGAATGTGAGGCATAGTGAGTGGTTCTTCTGATTATTTAAATTTATGGTACATCTTCCATGTCTGGAACTCAACCCGCCAAAAATTCTAACAGAGGGCATTTTAAGAAGACTGCAGAGATGGGGAAAGGATAAAGACCCTATACAAAATCTCCCCCGCCCTTCAAGTAGGCAACAGAAATCTTTCATACAGATGTAACTTTAGAATTCTTGGACTGGCTCCCAATCTCCTTAAAGGGAGTTTCGGTATTTGTGGAGTTTGGTGAATATATTATACTTGTGGAGGAAATCCAGTTTAAGAAGCATATAATTATACTTTCTTCCTGTTTAATAATGAGAGTACAAAAATAAGTTTTTTCTTATGTAAAAATGTAAAGTCTAAGTAAATACACTATTATAAAAGGAAAATAAGTAAAACATGAGCTGAAACACTTGAAAACAGAAATGAAAACTACTTGAACTCTCAGTACGGTAATGAAGATTTTCAAATTCCCATCTGCTAATATCACAGCTCTAAAAACTGACCAGCAAATTTAAATGCAGAGATTCAGGAGCAGCAGAGCCATGGGGAGCATGGAATCTGGGATGGCTACACAGAGTCTGCCACTGGGCTCTGCTGAATGGTCATGTCCAAACACTGAATAGGGACAGGAAATCCCAAGACTCCAGAAGTCACATATACCTGTGATTTAAAATACTCACGTGTCTACTTCACTGCTGGTTACAGCAAAGTCCAAAGAGAAGGGAGGGAGGAGTTGGCAGGCCCAGGAATGTGCCCTAGACACTGACCAGAGGAGAGGCTGGAAAGGCCCTTTCTTGGTCACCCAGCAGTCGGCATTTACTCATTTAACATTTAACACGCACAAGCGGCTGAGGTCGCCTGGGGGGTGCCAGATGGGGGAAACCCTTCGCTGGCCACTCCAGCTCCCGCACTAAATTCAGAGTGAAACCAGCTGCCGGGAAATTCAGGGTAACCCAGCCATGGCTCTGGAAATTCCTCGCAAAGAAAACAGATCGAGTGCCAGGGTCATGGGAGCTCATAGATCAACAGTGCTCAAAGGGAGATTTCAGGCAACTGTAAGGAAGATAAGGAAATCATCCTCAGAGTGTTGCTCTGCTCCTGGCTGGAAAGAATGTACACTTTCTCTAATGTGTTGGGTCCACCCTGCAGTTCCCTTGGCCCTACTGCCACCAGGGAGAGAGCTCAGGAGGAGGAAGAAATAGGCAGCAGGGAGGGAGTCCCCGAAGACCCGAAAACAGTGGGAATGAATAGGAGACAAACTTGAATAATATTTCAACAAGAAAAAGATCAATTCTTTATAAGAATTATTAAAATTATATGGATAAATACATATAAAAGTCTTCATTAAACAGAGGTTAAAAAGTTTTTAAACCTTATTTTATTCATTTCTTCTATCACTGAAATCTATGCAAATGACATAAAAATATTTAAATATAGATGTTGTATGAAATCATTTTTAAAGTCAAAGAAATTTAAGATAAAGTGATTGTTTCTCTCAGCTCTGGATTTTTTCTCCCTTAAAAGATAAGGATATAATGCAAACTAGTTCAACCACTGTGGAAAGCAGTATGGAGGTTCCTCAAGAAACTCAAAATAGAAATACCATTTGACCCAGGAATTCCACTCCTAGGAATTCACCCTAAGAATGCAGCACTCCAGTTTGAAAAAGACATATGCACCCCTATGTTTATCACAGCACTATTTACAATAGCCAAGAAATGGAAGCAACCTAAGTATCCATCAGTAGATGAATGGTTAAAGAAGATGTGGTACATATACACAATGGAATATTATTCAGCCATAAGAAGAAAACAAATCCTACCATTTGTAACAAAATGGATGGAGCTACAGGGTATTATGCTCAGTGAAATAAGCCAGGCAGAGAAAGACAAGTACCAAATCATTTCACTTATTTGTGGAGTATAAGAACAAAGAAAAAACTGAAGGAACAAATCAGCAGCAGACTCACAGAACCCAAGAATGGACTAACAGTTACCAAGGGGAAAGGGACTGGGGAGAATGGGTGGGAAGGAAGGGAGAAGGGGGAAAATGGGGCATTATGATTAGCACACATAATGTAGCAGGGGAGACATGGGAAAGGCAGTATATACTGAGAAGACAAGTAATGATTCTACACTGATGGACAGTGACTGTAATGGGGTATGTGGGGGGGACTTGATAATGGGGGGAGTCTAGTAACCATAATGTTCAAGTAATTGTACATTAATATCAAAACTAAAAAATTAAAAAAATATATTATATATAGATAGATGATAGATAGATAGATAGATAGATAGATAGATAGATAGATAGATAGATTGATAGATAGATAGATAGATAGACAGACAGATAGATAGATAGGGACATATCCAAAATACAAAGTACGGGGAGATACAAACTGACCTCACTGGCTTTAGTTTCACTACTGAAAGCCAAAAATGCTACTTCGTGTAAACTATGTGGTTAGAGGACCCTAATAAAACCATCACTGTCTTTGTAGAGAACTGGCTATTATCTTTACTTTTACCCTCAAATAAATTAAATATTGGTTTTTAAACCCTTCATATGACATAAGATTGGGTCTTTCTTTTCATCTCTTTTTAAGTCATTTTTCACAAATGACTTAAAATCAGTGATTTTCTCAAATGGAAGTTTCCTTGTGGATGCTGATAAAGTATTTTAAAGCACTGTTTGCAATGCTGTTCATAGTTAACTCTGATGAATTAATTGGAGAATTCAGAAAAGAACAGGAGCATTCTTAAAAGTATTCTCACGTGTGTCCTGCCAACTAAGCATTTAACTTGTACTTCGATTTTCATTATAATATAAATTTGAATTCTCTGGATTCAAAAATATTTTCAATTCAGATAACGACTAAAATAATCTTTGCAAAATGTTTCTGCTGTACCAAAGGGTCTTAAAAACTCAAACACTGATCACCTAGGGAGGCACTTGTTTTAAAATGCAAATTACAGGTTCTGCTCCTAAACATGCTGACTGAGAAGTTTCAAGAGGGCCCTAGAATCTGCATGTCTCACAGAAATGGTTTAAGGCCATGCTTTGAGAAACACTGCCAGTATGACCAAGTTACTGCAGCACCAAGTACTGCATGCCCATTACCCACCACAATGCTTTACACAAAGCTGGAAATGGTCATGAATTTGTTTCATACTTTTGAATTTATGATTTATCATTTACACTGATTGTGCCAGAATCTCATTTAAGCAGGGAGACAGTTTTTTGCGGTACTCTGAAAAATGTTCACAGTGAATAAAACAATGTGCAAATGTAATTCCACTTGCAAAGCCTGCCAGGCATGACTGTTGCCCCATCTGCACACAGTCCAGCACAAGGTTTCCAAACAAGAAACTTACTAAGAATGCTTGTCTATTAGCCTAAATACTTCTAGACTTGAGGTATGAGAAAGCAAAGAATTCAAAATTAGGACTATTTCACATAATCCATAAAGTGACTATAACCTTAAAAAAAAGGATATATTTTGACACATCTGAGGCCATCTAAAGAGCAAATATTTTTTTATTGAAGTATCATTGATATACAATCTTATGTTGGTTTCAAATATACAACAGAGTGGTTCAATATTCACCCTCATTATCAAGTCCTCATCCCCTCCAGTGCGGTCACTGTCCATCAACATACTGAGATGTTACAGAACCATTAACTGTATTCTCTGTGCTGTAGTACTGTCCCCCCCATGACCTACCTATATTGTGAATGTGAATTATTGTGCCCTTTAATCCCCTTCCCCCTCCTACACTCTCCAACTGCTCCCCTTTCGTGACCACTAGTTCCATCTCAGTGTCTATGAGTTACTGCTATTTTGTTCCTTCCATTTTACTTCGTTTTTATACTCCACAAATAAGTGAAATGATTTGGTACTTATCTTTCTCCACCTGGCTTATTTCACTGAGCCTAATACCCTTTAGATCCACCTATGTTATTGCAAATGGGAGAATTTCTTTTCTTTTTATCACAGTAATATTCCATTGTGTACACATACCATATCTTGTTTATCCATTCATCTATTGATGGACACTTAGATTGCTTCCATATCTTGGCTACTGCAAACAGTGCAGCAATAAACAAACATAGGGTGAATATGTCTTTTCAAATCAGGGATTTTGTTTTCTTCCCAAATGTTTGTTTTTTAATTACATAGATTTTGATTTCTAATAGCCCATTAATACTCTTTCCTAGCATATCATTGTAAGGGGAAAGTTTTCATTTTCTATAAAACTCCAAAGCTCCTAAATTCTCAACTTGTTTCCACTAGATATAAAATGTGGTTGTTCAAATATTAAGCTTCTTTAGAAGAATCCCATTTTCATCTCATTTTAAGAGCATTTTTTAAAGACTTAACAAGCTTTCACAGTGAGCTATCACCTCACACCAGTCAGAATGGCCACTATCCAAAAGACAAGAAATAACAAGTGTTGGCGAGGATATGGAGACGAGGGAACCCTCCTACACTGCTGGTGGGAAAGTCAATTGGTGCAGCCACTGTGGAAAGCAGTATGGAGGTTCCTCAATAAACTAAAAATAGAAATACCATTTGACCAGTAATTCCAATTCTAGGAATTAACCCAAAGAAAACAAAATCCCTGATTTAAAAAGATACATGCATCCCTATGTTTACTGCTGCATTATTTACAATAGCCAAGATATGGAAGCAA